CCATCCATCTATCCATCCACCCCTCCATCCATCCATCCATCCATCCATCCCATCCATCCATCTATCATATCTATCTATCTATCTATCATCTATCTATCTATCTATCTATTATCTCTATCTATCATATCTATCTATCTATCTATCTATCTGTCTGTGTGTGTCTGTCTGTCTGTCTATCCATCCATCCATCCATCTACCCACCATCCATCCATCCATCTTGTGTCTGTCTGTCCATCTATCCACCCACCCACCCACCTATCCATCCATCCATCCATCCATCGACACCACCCACCCATCCACCTCCACCCCACCCATCCATCATCCATCCACCCACCCACCCACCACCACCCATCCATCCATCATCCATCCATCCATCCACCCATCCATCCACCACCCACCCACCCATCATCCACCCATCCATCCATCCATCCATCTATCTATCTATCCGTCTATCCATCCATCCATCCATCCATCCATCCATCCATCCATCCATCCATCTGTGTGTATGTCCATCCATCCATCCATCCACCCATCCATCCATCCATCTATCTGTGTGTCTTTCTGTCTATCCATCCATCCATCCATCCATCTACCCACCCATCCATCCACCGACCCACCCACCCACCCACCCATCCATCCATCCATCTGTGTGTCTGTCTGTCCATCTATCCACCCACCCACCCACCTATCAATCCATCCATCCACCGACCCACCCACCCACCCATCCATCCACCCATCCATCCACCCACCCACCCACCCATCCATCCACCCACCCACCCACCCATCCATCCATCTATCTATCCATCCATCCATCTATCTATCCGTCTATCCATCTGTGTGTCTGTCTGTCCATCCATCCATCCATCCATCCATCCATCCATCCATCCATCCATCCATCCACCGACCCACCCACCCACCCACCCATCCACCCATCCATCCATCTATCCATCCATCCATCCATCCATCCATCCATCCATCTATCCATCCATCCATCTATCTATCCGTCTATCCATCCATCCATCCATCCATCCATCCATCTGTGTGTCTGTCCATTCATCCATCCATCCATCCATCTGTCAGTAACTGGTGTTGATATCCCATATATTGATCACACTGAACGATGTCTGATTTCATCAATGGTACACTGACAACGTGCACAGTCAGAACTAAAGATCGGACTCACAAAACAAATCACAATTATTAAACGAAACTTAAAAACTCCCCAGCAAACCTCACAAACAGCCGGACAGCACAATTTGCTCATAGTAAAGGAGTGACAAGCGAAGCCCTTCAAGTGAACAGCCAATCAAACGGGGACATTCGCAGCCGCTGGGAATCATCGGCGTCCTTCAGTGTTCTGCACACTGAAAAAATGTGTAAGAATCCTGCTGTTGAAGATTAAAAGTCAAGAAGCTGTCAGAGTATCTCTCACCAGCTGAAAACACAGCAGGCTCATCAATAAATCACAAACACACACAGAAAAACAACTACAGGCACGAATATGACAGAAAATACCAATGCATGCAGTGATTTCACTGACAGCTTTCGTAAAATTGCAGTGAGGACGAGAAGTTACCTGAAATAACACAAAAACAGAAGAAATTGATTGTTAGTCTAAAAAAAGTGAAATAGTGTTTAGTGCAATACATTTACAATGGATGTCTCTATAGGGCAAGACAATGAATGAGAAATAAACACGGTTTCAAAAGCATTCTCTACTAAACTTAAACTTTGTTTAAACATGGACAAAATCAATTTAATAGCATCCTAAAAATGTGGTAAAATCATTGTGTTTAAATGATTTAAATGATACTATGTATGTATATAGCATTTTTGTCTATGTAGTGTTTATGTATGGCTGCTACTTTGGCCAGGTCAAGACTTCCTGGTAAAATAAATGTCAAATAAAACATGAGATCAGTGCAATTAAATCACTTACCAAAGTTTTGAGTGATGCTATCGCAGTTATTTCCACTCGTCATGATCATGTAGAGTCAGTAAACGGCCGACCTTCTGCTAAAATTACCATTTACACACTTTACGACTCAAACAACGCACATTTTAAAGGAAGAATATACAAGCAAATGCATTTAACTTTAGAATACAGTAATTTTCGGTGGTTTCATGCTATTTAACAAACAAACAACTACATAAATATCCGGTTGTGATTATTTTCTGCGATAATCACACTGTAAAAAAAAATATTTTTAAGATTTGTTATCACAAACTTTTTTCTTTAGTCAAATCAACTTAAATAATTTGTTTAGTTGAGATAACTTATTATTTTGAGTTTCTGATGATTAAACTAATCTCGTTCATTGTATTAACTCACTTTTTCCAGTTAAATCAACTTAAAATTAAGGCATTACTTACTTTTTTAAGTTAAACCAACAATATTTTTTTACAGTGCAACATTAAGCTGCAAATTATGTCAATAGAGCTTAACTTGATTTAATTGTGTTAAAAAGTTATTAAGACTTATTTAAGACTTCTTAAATAAACAAATCAATAACAACTTGAAATTATTTTATGTGGTTTTAAATAAATAAATAAACAATTATATATTTTTAAATCAATTAATGATAATTTCAAATGATTTTCTATGGTAATCAATTTCGTTTCCCAAACCTTCCTTTAACACCCTTGTAAATGGTGTTTATTTTACCATCAGCCATCTGTTGATTATGTGCGACACAGCGAGTTTAATCTAGTATTTCACAAACTAAAAAAAAGACTTAAGATAGAACATCTGTGTGTGAATGTCAGAAAATCATCCATTTCATTAAAACCGTATTTATTGAGAACCAACACAACAAAACAGCACAAATCCCCTTCAGAGTTGTGCAGACTATCATTGCCGTGGCAAAGCATCATGGGAAATCCTTGATAGACTGATAGTAAACATCATAGACAGAAGGCTGTTAATTAACATCCTTCTCAAGGGTATATGCAATTTGATTGTATATAACAGCTTATTAAAGGCATATCGTCCATTATCATTAATTTTCCGTCACTCATTTTCTTATCTTGATTGCTTTTGATTACTTTTGTCTGCTTGTTCAACATGTCAGAGATCTTGAAAGCAAAGGGAAAGATGATTCTATTCAAAACTAGCAGACAATACGTACAAATGGCTGAATCAAACAAATTTATTCACCATTAGTCTACAAGTACAGATAAAAAAAACACACACACACACACACATACATACATGTTACACACATTTGTGTCATCAAATATACTTCGGGTGAGTTGATGCTAGAAAATGTCCCAACAGAAGCAATGAAAACGCAAAAAGCAACCCATAATAACCCACAAGTGAACTCACTGTTTAACTGCTGCTAACCGAGTGTATATTTACAATCACCTACGCAGAAGGAAATGACACAGGTCCACTGAAAAAATACATGAAACTGAGAAACCAAACAGAGATAATGCGACAAAGGAAAAGAAAAACAACGTCGGTTTTATTGTGCTTTTAAACCCTTTCCCCACTTCGGTATCGAAGCGGGACGTGTTTTGAGAAGAGGCACTCGCTAAAGTGCTTACACAAGTTTATATTCAAGAAGAATTGCTATCGCTATGTTTAGGACTCAAGTTAGAAATCATAAATCTATAAACGCTACCACTGAAAAATGTTTGGAAAAATTACGATATGTCCATGTTTTTTGAAAGATGTCTCTTCTGCTCACCAAGGCTGCCTTTATTTAATCAAAAATACAGTAAAACAGTAAAACTGGTAAATATTATTACAACTTAAAATAACTGTTTACTTTGGAACCTTGTTTCCGCCACGGAATAAAACAATATAAAAGGTAATTGTAACTTTTTATCTCACTATTCTAACCTTTTTCTCTCCCAATAGCAGGATCTAAACTCTTTATAACTTTATAACTCAGAATTGCAAGATATCAACTAAGTTATAAAGTTAGAATTACGTGATATTAAGAATTAGAATTGTGAGATAAACTTGCAAATGCGGGAAATAAAATCTGAATAGCGAGAAATAGTCGGAATTGCGAGATATAAACTTGCAACTGCGAGAAAGCAAATCAGAATTGCGAGATAGAAATTTGCAACTGCGAAAAATAGAATTGCGAGATATAAACTTGCAACTGCAAGAAATAAAGTCGGAATTTCAAGATAGAAACTCAGAATTGCAAGAAATAAAGTTCGAATTGCGAGATATAAACTGGAAACTGTGAGAAATAAAGTCGGAATTGCAAGATAGAAACTCAGAATTGCAAGAAATAAAGTCAGAATTGCAAGATATAAATTTGTAATTCAGAGAAAAAGTCAGAATTGCGAGATACAAACTTGCAACTACAAGAAAAAAAACCTCAGAATTGCAAGAGAGACTTGAAACTGCGAGAAAAAAAAATCAGAACTGGGAGATATAAACTTGCAAATGCGAGAAATAAAATCAGAATTGCAAGAAATAAAGTCGGAATTGCAAGATATAAACTTTCAATTGCGAGAAATCAAATCAGAATTGCGAGATATAAATTTTCAACTGCGAAAAATAGAATTGTGAGATATAAACTTGCAACTGCGAGAAATAAAGTCAGAATTGCAATATATAAATTTGCAACTGTGAGAAATAAAGTCGGAATTGCAAGATAGAAACTCAGAATTGCAAGAAATAAAGTTCGAATTGCAAGATATAAACTTGCAACTGTGAGAAATAAAGTCGGAATTGCAAGATAGAAACTCAGAATTGCAAGAAATAAAGTTTGAATTGCAAGATATAAACTTGCAACTGTGAGAAATAAAGTCGGAATTGCAAGATAGAAACTTTCAATTGCGAGAAATCAAATCAGAATTGCGAGATATAAACTTGGAACTGCAAGAAATCAAATCAGAATTGCGAGATAGAAATTTGCAACTGCGAAAAATAGAATTGTGAGATATAAACTTGCAACTGCGAGAAATAAAGTCAGAATTGCGAGATATAAACTTGCAACTGTAAGAAATAAAGTCGGAATTGCAAGATAGAAACTTTCAATTGCGAGAAATCAAATCAGAATTGCGAGATATAAACTTGGAACTGCAAGAAATCAAATCAGAATTGCGAGATAGAAATTTGCAACTGCGAAAAATAGAATTGTGAGATATAAACTTGCAACTGCGAGAAATAAAGTCAGAATTGCGAGATATAAACTTGCAACTGTAAGAAATAAAGTCAGAATTGCAAGATATAAATTTGTAATTAAGAGAAAAAGTCAGAATTGTGAGATACAAACTTGCAACTACAAGAAAAAAAAACCTCAAAATTGCAAGAGAGACTTGCAAATGCGAGAAAAAAATCAGAATTGCAAGAAATAAAAGTCGGAATTGCAAGATATAAACTTGCAATTGTGAGAAATCAAATCAGAATTGCGAGATAGAAACTTGCAATTGTAAGAAATCAAATCAGAATTGCGAGATATAAACTTGGAACTGCGAGAAATAAAAGTCAGAATTACGAGATAGAAATTCGCAACTGCGAAGACTAGAATTGCGAGATACTGTATAAACTTTCAACTGTGAGAAATAAAGTTGGAATTGCCAGATATAATCTTGCAACTGCGAGAAATAAAGTCAGAATTGTGAGAAATAAAGTCAGAATTGTGAGATATAAACTCAGAATTGCAAGAAATAAAGTTCGAATTGCGAGATATAATCATGAAAATGTGAGAAATAAAGTTGGAATTGCGAGATAGAAACTCGGAATTGCGAGAAACAAAGTCGGAATTGCAAGATATAAAGTTGCAACTGCGAGAAATAAAGTCAGAATTGCGCGATATAAAGTTACAATTGCGAGAAAGTCAGTATAGCGAGATTTAAACTCGCAATTCTGACTTTATAACTTGCAGTTGCGTGATCTTAACTCGCAACAGCAAGTTATAGTCTCAATTGTGCGATATAAAGTTGCAGTTGTGAGAAATAGTTATAATTGCGTGATAAAAAGTTGCAATTGTGAGAAAGTCAGAATTGCGTGATATAAAGTTGCAATTGCGAGAAATAGTCAGTATAGCGAGATTTAAACTCGCAATTCTGACTTTATAACTTGCAGTTGCGTGATCTTAACTCGCAACAGCAAGTTATAGTCACAATTGTGTGATATAAAATTGCAGTTGTGAGAAATAGTCAGAATTGTGAGATATAAACTCAGACTTGCAAGAAATGAAGTTCGAATTGCGAGATATAATCATGCAAATGTGAGAAATAAAATTGGAATTGCGAGATAGAAACTCGGAATTGCGAGAAATTAAGTTGGAATTGCGCAAACTTGCAACTGCAAGAAATAAAGTCGGAATTACGAGATATACACTCGCAACTGCGAGAAACAAAGTCGGAATTGCAAGATAGAAACTCAGAATTGCGAGAAATAAAGTTGGAATTGCAAGATATAAAGTTGCAACTGCGAGAAATAAAGTCAGAATTGCGTGATATAAAGTTACAATTGCGAGAAATAGTCAGTATAGCGAGATTTAAACTCGCAATTCTGACTTTATAACTTGCAGTTGCGTGATCTTAACTCGCAACAGCAAGTTATAGTCACAATTGTGCGATATAAAGTTGCAGTTGTGAGAAATAGTCAGAATTGTGAGATATAAACTCAGACTTGCAAGAAATGAAGTTCGAATTGCGAGATATAATCATGCAAATGTGAGAAATAAAATTGGAATTGCGAGATAGAAACTCGGAATTGCGAGAAATTAAGTTGGAATTGCGCAAACTTGCAACTGCAAGAAATAAAGTCGGAATTACGAGATATGCACTCGCAACTGCGAGAAACAAAGTCGGAATTGCAAGATAGAAACTCAGAATTGCGAGAAATAAAGTTGGAATTGCAAGATATAAAGTTGCAACTGCGAGAAATAAAGTCAGAATTGCGTGATATAAAGTTACAATTGCGAGAAATAGTCAGTATAGCGAGATTTAAACTCGCAATTCTGACTTTATAACTTGCAGTTGCGTGATCTTAACTCGCAACAGCAAGTTATAGTCTCAATTGTGCGATATAAAGTTGCAGTTGTGAGAAATAGTTAGAATTGTGAGATATAAATTTGCAACTGTGAAAAAAACATGTTAAAATGTAATTTATTCCTGTGATCAAAGCTGAATTTTCAGCATCATTACTGCAGTCTTCAGTGTCACATGATCCTTCAGAAATCACTCTAATATGGTGATTTGGTGTGCCTTGGTGGGCAGAAGAGACTCCTTTCAAAACCATAAAAAAATCGTAATTATTTCAAGCGTTTGACCGGTAGCGTAGGTTTTTTGATACTGAATGTATATAAAGTCAGTGGAGGTTCGCAACAGTTCAGTACTAATTCTGAAAAAAAAAAAAAATAGTTTCAGGCCTCTGTTTCTAGTCCGGCGTCCACGCGCGAAGCCCTTGCGTTTTCTCTACGTGCGAGGAGATCCGGGTCGCTCCGGAAAGTGTGGATCCTATCCCAGCTGACCCAGAACTGATGGAGTGGAAAGCTTGCGCTGGAAGCGGGAACAGGTCAAGGTTGTATGCCTAAAAAAAAGAAACCTGTCCACGTGGGACGCCACACGTTTCCCGAGCCGGATTGTTTGTTGACATCATTCGCTCTCCGGTCTTCTCCCGTCTCTCTCAGACAGTTACTTCGGTCTTACTCGCGGTTCTGTACTGATGATGGTGGTGTCCAGGTATATACTGCAGGTGGTCGACCGTGTGCATCCGTCGGTTGGCGAACGCCTGCCGTTTGTTTCCCACCTGCGCGCTGTTAACAGTCAGTGTGTTGTAGGACTCGTTGTTGCCGCTGCTGGGGTGCGAATGCATCTTCATCATTTTGTAGTGCCGGTCCATGACCGGCGTTGTCGGGATGAACATGTCAGTCTGGGAAAGCGCCCGCGACATGGCCTTCTCCCGGAAGTTGGAGCGCCGCAAGGAGAGCATCTTATCCGGGGAGAGCAGCGGATCCTGGGAGAGCAGTCGGTCGGCCGACAGCAGCTGCTCGTCGGAGAGGATTCGTCCGTGGTACGGAGACAGACCGCCGGCGCCCCCCGTGTACGAGGACAGCCCGTAGTCCCGGTGCTTGGAGCGGGCGGGCGAGAGCACGTGGTCCTGGGACATGGCGCGCTGGACACGTTTGGGTGAGAGGACATGATCTTGAGACATGGCTCGCTGGACGCGCTTGGGCTTCTGGCGCTGCGCGGGCGGATCCACGTTCAGCTTTATCATGTGCGTCTGCAGGTTTCCCCCGCGAGGCGTCATGTCGGATAAATGGTGCTTCCTCATGTAATACTCCTCGTCTTTGTCACCTGAGAACGAGATATCAAAACGGTTCTGTTATACCGTGACAATAAAACTAACACTTTAGCTTAGGGGCCAATTCTCACGGTTAACTAGTTGCTCACACAGGTAAATCCCCAGAGTTAAAGGAGAACTCCGGCGAACAATGAACCTTTGGTCTAATAAAACATCGGTACCTAGTCAATCGTTCTCTGAGATTTGTTTTCATGATAATCGAATGTAAAGAGTTTTATCTCTAAAAACTGTTTAGCGTATAATGCTAGTAATGGGGGCATTGACTAAGTAAAAAGAAATGGCTAGTTTATACCACTAACAAGGCTCAAAATAGCCCCACACTAACGCAGTAACATAATGAGGGTCCATACATGCAAAACGAAGCATTGAGAACTTTGTAAGTGTACAGACCGTTTAATAAGAAGATACTTCATGAAGACAGTTCACTTCGTGTATACAGACAGGAGCCATCTTAGGAAATAGTCTCGATAAGTCGATCCCCGAACGCCGATCATACAGTTCAGAAGTTCGCTGAACTTCATACAGTTCAGATCACTCAGCACGACATTCGTGGTTTGACTTATCGAGACTATTTCCTAAGATGGCTCCTGTCTGTATACGCGAAGTGAACTGTCTTCATAACGTATCTTCTTATTAAACGGTCTGTACACTTACAAAGTTCTCAATGCTTCGTTTTGCATGTATGGACCCTCATTATGTTACTAGCCATGTTTCCATCCACTTGTCAATCGAATTATCTGAAATTCGGTTAAAAAACGTATGCGGATAAAGCAGGTGAAAGTGTGTTTCCATCCAACGGCTTTAAAGCGAATAAAAACCTGTACGTAATGACGTCACATGCTGTTTTGCGATCAAATTGGTATATCGAATTGATTTGAGACATTTTAAGGTGTTTCCATTTATTTTCGCACTGAATCGAACAACATCAAGCAAACTTTTGCGAACAAAGTTTTGTTAGACAAAACGGATCGCGCCATCTACCAAAAATGATCAATATTTCACAAGTTGAAGGCTAATAATGCTTATGTGCCAGCTGATAGTGACATATGAATGGGATAATGTATGCGAGGCGGTTGTTGGTTGTATTCGCTATAACAACCGCCTCGCTATATTATCCTGCTTATTAGCCTACATATAAATCAACCAAATAAATAAATAATTTGACACAAAATATTGACTTAAAAACGAGTATTGCTTCTGCTAAAGAAAATAGTCTGTTCCGTCTCTGAACTGCGTCCATGGCAACGGTGTGTTATACTAGCAGCGCCGCAGTCTGTTAACTAGAAATAACAGGCAACATTCTACATTACAATTCAACCAAGCCACGTAAAAACAAGCAAAACAACGACGCTATAAATATTGCTATGATGATGGCGATGCACGTAAACTCTTTGGTTGAAGCATCTTTTTGCTTTGTCCACTTACATCCGTCTTTGTTGACATCCGCCATGTGTGCGCAAACAGACTGGCCGGAAATGAACTCGTCTTCTGACGTGTTGCAACCATAAAAGGGCATAAAACTTAATCGCAATTCATTATTTATTCGGCAAATAACGTTTCCATCAGCTTTTATCGCATTAGCCGTATATCGATCAAGAGAAAATCCGATGAGACCAAACGTATTTCATTTGAGTCGATTTTCACGAAATTTCATCGAATTTTACTGTTTCCATAAGGCTTTTTTCATTCGATATCACTTAATTCGGATAAAAACGTGTCGATGGAAACATGGCTACTGTGTAAGTGTGGGGCTATTTTGAGCCTTGTTAGTGGTATAAACTAGCGATTTCTTTTTACTTACTCAATGCCCCCATTACTAGCATTATACGCTAAACAGATTTTAGAGATAAAACTCTTTACATTCGATTATCATGAAAACAAATCTCAGAGAACGATTGACTAGGTACCGATGTTTTATTAGACCAAAGGTTCATTGTTCGCCGGAGTTCTCCTTTAAATTAACTACTCTGCTCAGAGCACGTAGGGTCCCACGTAATTCTGAATCAGAGTTAAAGTTAATGAGATAATTAAGTGATTAATGAAGTGAAGATTGAGTATTACTGATGAACACCTGCTGTCAACAAGCAGTATCACAGAAGGAAACAGAAACGAACAGAGAAAAAGAAAAACATAAGAGCTACAACTGACTTAAGCCATAACGTTAGATGAAAAACTAAATGAAATGTTAACGGACACACACACAGGGCCTTATTTTAACGATCTGAAACGCAAGTGTCGAAGCGCAAGTAACTTTGTGGGCGGGTCCCGGCGCTGTTGCTATTTTTGTTGCATGTGAATTCCCCAGCTGTTTATGAACACATTTTTTGTTGTTATTGGTGGATTTGAATATATAGTTGAAACAATCTTAAAAACTATTTCTTATTAAAAAAATTTGACAAAAAACAAAAATTCACAATTTTTTTTTTTCATTTTTTTTACAATTTCCCATTCATTTCTTATGGGGGTCATTTTTGACCAAAGACCACAAGTGTGACTATTTTTTTAAGACCACTTAGCATGCTCAGATCATGACCTCATTTTTTTTTTGTGTTCACATACATAATGCCATAAAAGTCACCAAGTTTCGTAACATTGCGATGAAGCTGTGATTTTTAAAAATTCAAAACATACTTTTTGTAATCAAAATTTATTGGTGTGTATGTGTGTGTGTGTTGGTGGGTGTGTCTGTTTTGCACTCTAGATGTTGTAGAGTGTCACCCCTGTCCTGCGGTGTACTTTTTTTTTTTTTTTTTTAGAATTGTGGCCGATTTGTAGATTGTACATACAAAAATTCTCAAAGTTTTTGTGTTTTTGTCAATTTCCCATCATTTCCTATGGTCGGTCATTTTTTGACAGAAGAGCAAAAGTGTGACTCATTTTTGACTCTTAAATTGCCCGAATCATGACCTCAATTTGTTTTTGTGTTCACATACCCAATGCCATACAAGTCACCAAGTTTCGTAATTTTCTGAAGAAGCTGTGATTTTTAAATATTCAAAACAGATTTCTTTAATCACAATTTATTGGTGTTTTTGTGTATAAAAGTGTGTGTGTGTGTCTGTTTTGCACTCTTGATGTTTCAGAGCATCACCCCTTCAATGCTGAGCACTTTTTTTCTGCATTGTGGCCGATTTGTAGATTGTACACACAAAAATTCTCAAAGTTTTTGTGTTTTTGTCAATTTCCCATTCATTTCCTATGGGTTGGTCATTTTTGACCAAAGACCACAAGTGTGACTATTTTTTTTACGACCACTTCGCCTGCTCGCATCATGACCTCAATTTTTTGTGTGTTCACATACATAATGTCATAAAAGTCACCAAGTTTCCTAACATTTCGATGAAGCTGTGATTTTTTAAATTTAAAAACAGAAAAATTTTCGGTCAGAAATGACGGAAGAGCACCTGAGGGTTAATAGCATTAAGAACAACGTGACGTGCGTCTGTGGAGGGAAAGGTTCGCTTTGCGCGGGTGGAAAATAGGAATGAGACGTATATAAAGTCATTTGCGCCGGGTGCAAGATAGGGCCCACAGTATCCTTCAACTTATTTTATTTCAGTTAGTTGCCAAGGGAACATTTCTAGAATTTAGTTATATTTCTATTTTTTAGAATTTAGTTATATTTTCTATTTTTATTATTTTTTATTTCTAGTTATATTTCTATTTTTTAATCTAGTTAAAGTCCTAAAATAACTAAAACAAAAATTGGAAACTCAAATATATGAGTCAAAATTATAAATATAAATACATACTACAATGCTGTACTGGATCAGAGTGACATCAGCAGATATGAAACAGAACAAAATCCGACTGATAATAAAACAAACTGCTGTGGGTTTGAAGAAACATGAACCCCCCTAAAAACTGCAGCTGATGGTGAAGCTACAGGTCTCTTCTGCTGAATTGTGTTTTTATGTCTCTGTTGCCTCGCTTTCTCTATTTGGATTGCTCTGTTAATCTTTTCTTTGTTTTTCTCAACAATGGCACAGGAAACACAATGTTTGGAATGAAACCATTGAGACTTAAATGATGAGTCTCTGTGGGACAGGGAAATGAGTGTGTGTGTGGGTGTGTGCGTGAGAGTGAGGCCAATTTTGTAGTGTTTGTTAAGTAGCAGATGAACTAAAGGATAGGGCACTTCTCCTGAGATAGCGCTCTAGTCTTCTACCTAGTTCCTCATGAAGCAGTAGGCGTCGGTGGCAGATGTTTGGGATGGTATCCTTTAGGCGTCTTACGGTAAACGTATTCAATCCTGAACTATCACGGCACGGATGTTACGGTTTGGTTTATACAGTCAGACGACGAATGTCGTGACGAATGCCCAATCCAGAAGGGGGCGGCCATAATGCAACACAATAGGGCGTTACCAAAACAATAGGGCGTTATTTGTAGTGGTGTCCGAAATCATAATGGATGTGATAAAGTGCACCGCAATAACTGATGTATGCTCAACAGCTGTCCGAATTCCCTCACTCGTTTCGGATCGTCCTTCAAGTGAACCTTAGTAGTGGACTAATGTAGGGAATAGGGAATGAGGGTTTAGGGGGCGATTTCGAATTCAGCCCAGGAGTTGTTCCACTGTCTGTTTTTGGGATTTGTTGCTTGTACCGAAACTTTTCTAAAAGGGTAGCTTTAAACAGATTAAAATGATGACAGTGTTCTAGTAGAGTCCCCCAAATCCCTCGCCTCGGATATAGAGCAAAGTTACGAGATACATGAATGTACAGGCCTCGATATCGATTCGGCACTGAACTGTTTATCTTTGAGCTAATGAAGACAGGCTGGTGTAGTTCAGAATTACCATCACTGACACGGCAGGGTTTTGGCAGACGAACGGATTCCAAAGGCCGAATGTGCCGATGCGAGGGCGTGACATTCGAGAGAAAAGGTCAGGTGAACAGGCCTAAGGCCTCACGCTGGCTAGCGGTCACTCCAGGACCCCAGAGCTCAATTACACACTCACATAAGAGCGAATCGAATGCCACGGGCTTCA